CGTCTCACCCCTCCAGGGTTTATGACCCGCGAGGAGCGCAAGAAGTTTGAGAACTTGAACTCATCCTACAACAAGTATTGGGTGCCCTGCGTCTGGTTCTCTAACCTGGCGGCACAGGCCCGGCGGGAGGGCCGCATCCGGGACAACAGCGCCCTTAAACTGCTGCTGGAGGTGGGCTCGCCAGCTGGCCATTCATACAAAACACCAGAGACATTATACCGTCAGACGACGAGCCACGCGCCTCCCACGAGGCCGATTCCAAACACCCTTCCCTAGCAGCCCCCAGGTGCACAGCTATCTCATGCCCCCCCCCCCCAGGGGTACACTCACCACTAAATACTCTCCCTGGAGCCCCCAGAAACACACGGTGACCACTCACCTCCATCCCACACTAAGTACCCACACTAATCCCCACGTGTGAGCTCACCAACCAGGCCGGCTCATGACTTGCATCTGCCCCCAGGAGCTGACTGTGTTTCGGGGCAAGTGTTCGATGCTCTTTCACTACGACTGGATCAACATACCCCTCGTCTACACCCAGGTAATCCCGCAGTGGCCTCCTCGTAGACCTGAGGAGACGCACTGGTCTCAAGGGGACATGGAGGGCCAGCTAAGACCCTGTCACAGTGACTCCTGACCCTAGCCCTGGTCTCTCCGAGAACCCGAGGCCAGGAGAGCCCTGACCTGGCCACTGCTGCCCCCAGGTGGTGACCATCGCAGTGTACAGTTACTTCCTGGCCTGCGTCATCGGTCGCCAGTTCCTAGACCCTGCGCAGGGCTACAAAGACCACAACCTTGACCTGTTTGTGCCCGTCTTCACTCTGCTGCAGTTCTTCTTCTATGCCGGCTGGCTCAAGGTGGCTGGGGCCCTGAGCCTGGGCTCCGGGAGTGGGGCGGGCAGGGGCTCTCAGGTCTCCGCTTACCTCCCTTCTCCCCACTCAGGTGGCAGAGCAGCTCATCAACCCCTTTGGAGAGGACGACGACGATTTTGAGACCAACTTTCTGATCGACCGCAACTTCCAGGTGAGACTCCCTTGAGCCCAGACCCAGGCTCCCCAGGTGGCCCTGGCCTCACTCACCCCCGCCACGACTTGCCCAGGCCTCGCCTCTGAACCACCCTTCTCCCCTTGGCATCACACTCCTGAGGGCCCGGGCCTCGGTGCCCGTGCTCTGCTACCCCGCCTAGCACGTGTCCACGGCTGCAGGTGTCAATGCTGGCCGTGGACGAGATGTACGACGACCTGGCCATGCTGGAGAAGGACCTGTACTGGGACACAGCGGAGGCTCGGGCCCCCTACACCGCGGCCACCGCCTTCCTGAGGCTGCAGCCCTCCTTCCAGGGCTCCACCTTCGACATCACGTGAGCCAGCGGGGGGAGGGGAGGGGGGGCCTGCTGGATGCTAGGCTTATGGCACTGTGGGGACTAATTGAGGGGGGTCTCTGGGACCCCACAACAGGGCTAACGGCTAAACTGGAAATTTGGGGCTAAGAGCTAAAGTCTATGAGGAGAGTGATTGCGGTCAAGGTCTGGGATCAGGCCACTAATTGGGGTCAGAGCTAAGGGCTAAGGTGTGTGAGGATTGGATGGTGGTCAGAGGCGATACAATGCCACAACTAAGGCTTTGAGGCCTAAGTTTGAGCAGAGCCAGAGGACAAGGCCTGGCTCTTGGGTGAGCGGCCACAATCTTTCAGACAAATGGGTGAGTGCAGCCAGGAAAAGCAGTGGGCCTCGGTCCCACCTGTCCACCAAGGAGAGGGGCGAGGTAGCAGGGCTGACCCCCTGTCCGTCCATCCCACAGGCTGGCCAAGGAGGACATGCAGTTTGAGCGGCCCGACGGCGCGGACTTGCCGCTGGGCGAGGCGCATGGCGATTTCTTGCAGCGCCTCCTGCCGGTGGGCCCGGGCATGGCTGCAGGAAGCCAGCTGGGCCGGCGCCTGTCCGTGTTGCGCCGCAAGAACAGCGGCGTGTCGGAGGCGTCCACAGCCGCCAGCTGCGCGGGCACCAGCGTCCTCGATGGCGTAGCCCCGGAGGGTGACTGTGGGGACCTACTGTTGGACTCCGGACTTCGAGAGCCGGAACCCGAGCCCCACACGGGGCCAGAGCCGCCAGCCCCCGGGCTGGACGCTGAGCCCTTCACCAGAGTGTCCATGCCCGCACCCAGAGGGCCGGCTCCGCCCTGGCTGCCCAGCCCCATTGGCGAGGAAGAGGAGAATCTAGCTTGAGGCCCTTGGGCCCAAGATCCCCAAGAACAAGGAATCAAGACCCACGCCGCACCCACGCCGACATCTGGGTCCGCATAAGCCTCTCGTGAATTTCATCCGCCGGCTTTAGACCAGTTCCTGCTACCCCTGCTCCTGTCTTCATGTCTGGCCTGTGTCTCCTGTGGGCGGCCCTGGGCTAAGGGCAAAGGGATTTTTCCAGCTTAGAGCAGCTCATTCTTCCTACCAGCTCTACTCCCCCCTCCCCCCACTGCCTGGAAGGGCCCTATGTGTGTCCTGCCTTTATTGTTTCCTTAAAATGGAGATAGGAGTGCCTACCTCTTTGAGTTGTGAGGATGGGAATGAAATAACAGCTTTAAAGCGTTTGTACATAATAGGTGCTCAATAAAATGTTAGTGGTTTCTACTCAAATGCTGTTAGTCTGACTTCTCCTGCCACACATTATGCTAAGTCTGATTTTAATAAATTTCCAGGTTATTTCATGATGCCCCGCCCACTTCTTTCCAAAGTCTGCTCTCTGAAATGGCCCAATCAGCACACACAACTTTACTCATTCATGTACCAGCCACAGTCCCAGGACTACAGCTTCCTGCTGCCAGCCTTGATTTATGATTCTACAAGCAACCTTTCCACGCCAAGTCCCTGAATTCTCACATACCCTTTTAGTGCTCCTGGTCTTAATTCAATCATCTGCTGATGACTCTGTATTTAGATGTCCACACAGGATCCCTCCCGTCTCTAGACCCATAGATCCAACTGTCTTCTCAATGTCTCCATGTAGGGATCTCTCAGGCACCTCGGACATAACAGGTCCCAGAACCAGTCCCCTTTGGCTCCCCAACCTCTCTCTGTCGGCTCTGTCCGTCCAGATGATGAGGCTAAAAGCTGGAGTCATCTCTTACCCTCCTCCACACTAACCCAGCAGCAAATCTCATTGGCTTGGTCTTCAAACTGTATCCAGATTCCAACCATTTCTCCTTCCTCTAGGGCCCCCACCACTGTTATGCACCCACCCAGCTGGACTAGTGACCTCCACCCTAGTCTCCCAGCTCTGGCCTTAACCCCCCCGTCAGTTCCTCCCACAGCAGCCAAGGGGAGCCTATGAACAGGACTACAAAGACCACAACCTTGACCTGTTTGTGCCCGTCTTCACTCTGCTGCAGTTCTTCTTCCATGCCGGCTGGCTCAAGGTGGCTGGGGCCCTGAGCCTGGGCTCCGGGAGTGGGGCGGGCAGGGGCTCTCAGGTCTCCGCTTACCTCCCTTCTCCCCACTCAGGTGGCAGAGCAGCTCATCAACCCCTTTGGAGAGGACGATGACGATTTTGAGACCATTTTATCTATTTCCAAATTAGATAACACGCTTCCACGACTCCCACCGCACTTAGGATAAAAGCTCAAGTCCTCTCCGCAGCTCACAAGGCCCTGAGCAACCTCCCTGCCCTTGTCTCCTCCCTTCCCCTCACTCACTCCACACTATCCCTCTAACCCACCCAGCAAGGTCTCATCTCAGGGCCTTTGACATGGTGTTCCCTCTGGCTGGATCGCTCTTCCCCAGATACCTACATGGCCCCTTCCTTACTCGCCTTCACGTCTCTGCTTAAATTATATCAATTCCTTGGCTAGACTTCTTTTGCTGGCCTTTTATTACAAATCCCCACTTCCTGGAGCATTTGAGATCTTGCTCCCCATCATGCTGTCAATTTGGCTCCAATAAATTATTATTACTTTTGTTGTTAATCCTCACCCAAGGATATTTTTCCATTGATTTTTACAGAGTGGAAGGGAGAGGGAGAGATGGAGAGAAACATTGATGTGAGAGACACATCGATTGGTTGCCTCCTGCATGCATCCCGACCAGGACCAGGGAACCTGCCACCAAGGTATGTGCCCTAGACTGGAATGGAACCCTGGATCCTTCCATCTGCAGGCTGACACTCTATCCACTGAGCCAAACCCGCTAGGGCTCAAATAAATACTTATAAAAAAAATTTAATCACAGTCTACCTCCTGCATCCCCATCACTTCTGTCTGCTTTATTTTTCTCTATTGCACTTCTCACATAAAATTTTATCTATTTCCTTTATTGTCTGTCTCCCTTCATTGGAAATAATGGCTTCATAAGGCAGAGATTTTTGTCTGAAGCTTCTTTAAAACCCACCACACACGCACAGTTACACAAATGCAAATATGACACTCACCTCTCACTGGGTACTATCAGTCATTCACACTTTAGTAAGACCACAAGCCAGGCCCTTCTTAAAAAGCAGTGGTCTGAGTCCTGGACCCATGTTCTCTCCCCCACCTCAGTGCCCAGAGTCCAGCCAGGGCAGATTGAAAATCTTTATTATTTTTCTTCTCAAATATAAAATCACTCTCTCCATCCTGGCAGCTCATTAGCCTCAGGAAGAATATTAAGGGTAAGAATCACATTGCTAAAAAGAACACACCCATACCTGCCTCCCGCCCTGTCCTGTAGCTTGTCTCACCAGGGAGAACAAAAGCCACAGGTCATGACCTCAAGGCTCTCAAGCAGCTGACCCAGGCATGATGCTGAGCCCTGGGGGAGTTGGGGGGATCTAGGATTAAGCCCTGACTGGCTGGGCAGGTGGGCAGGATCCTGAGGTCCATCAATGCTTGTCAGCGGGGCGCATGTTCAAGTATGCTAGGCGTCCCAGGGGTCCACGGCGAGCATTGGTAGCCAGCCGCTGCTGTGCCAGGAATGACTGAGCATGTGCAGGCGCCCGCTCTTCCCCCGCTCGCTGCTGTAAGGCCATGCCCTGGAGAGAGGGGTGTGGTTGGCATTAGATGAGCCCCGGGGATGCCCCCACACTCCAGCGCTGGCGCTGGTGCACTCACCATATTATACCAGGCACTGATGAGCAACTTTTCTTCCTGCTCCCGCTGGCTTCGATTCTTCTCAAAGTCCATCTGCCAAGGATGCAAGAGTCAAGGGCCTGGATATGCTGGGGGCAGTGAGGAGGGATGAGGGCACCCACCTCCAGGTGTCGGATTCGGACTTCCCGCTCCCGGAGCTGTGTCCTCAAGGTATGGAGTTCCGGAGGCACCCCCCCAGGTGGCCGCTGCTTTGGTTCCAGGGTCTGTATGACCTAGAGGTTGGGGAAGATACAGCCAAGGTGACCTTGGCTTCACAGGTTGTTGGACACAGTGGAGTGTGTTGAGTGTGACAACTCATGGCGATGGTGTAAGAGTCTGTGACATAACGGGGCGTGACAGGCCTGGGGGTGGGGGCAGAGCTGTGCAAACTGCGGGAGGCGTGACCCAGCGGGAGGCAGCCGGCTGGACAGGAGGTCACTCAACATCCTCACCGTGCGTGCCTTGTCCACATAGCGGCGGTACCGCTCCTCCATGGCCCGCAAGTCTGCGTCCTTCTTCTGCAGGCTGTCCTGAAGCTCCTCGATTCGCCGGTCTGCTGGGGGAACAAAGTGGCCCCTCAGGTGCACGCCAAGCTCAGGTCCCCCCCACCCACCTGGCTGTGGAGCACGGCTCACTGCTGCCGTCGCTGGGTGGCTCCAGCTCCTCGATGTACTCGCGCTTCCGCTGCAGCTCTAGATCCGCTTCATGCAGCTTCTGCCTGTGGGCAGGGGACAAGCAGCGGTGGTGGCAACCGAGGTATTCCCAGCGGGAAGTGTCCCTGCCCGGCTACAGAGGCCTCTCCACCTGCCTCCCAAGCATAGCGGCTGTGTGCTCTGGCCCCACTGCCTCCTCTGCCACCAGAACCACAACCCTCCAGACCCCTAGTCAGGTGGCCCTTAGACCAGCCCCCCCTCTGTCCACTTCTATTTCACAGCTCACATTCTGATCCAGCCACCACTACCCTCTGGAGGGATTGTTCTACTCTCAGCCCCTCAGTTCCATGCCCCACCCAACAGCCAGTGATCTTTCTAGAATGCAGATCTCTTGTAACAAAAGGAAATGCAAACTATAAGTTGTACCTATGTTTAGTGCCCTTTGCCACCAGTGGCAAAACACAAACCATTTAATAACACTCTCTGGAGGTGACACTGTTATTGTGCATTGAACGTGAAACATAGTATAACACCTAATAGTTACATCTACTGAAACTACAAAGGCATGTGCCCCCTGAGCCACCAGTTCCACTTTTGTGATATATTTGCACACAGGTGAAACAATGCATATGCAAGGTTTTACACTCGGTTGCCTTGTTTGAAATTGTAAATACCTAGAAAGAACAAGTTAGCCAAAACCGGTTTGGCTCAGTGGATAGAGCGTCGGCCTGCGGACTGAAGGGTCCCAGGTTCGATTCCGGTCAAGGGCATGTACCTGGGTTGCGGGCACATCCCCAGTAGGAGATGTGCAGGAGGCAGCTGATCGATGTTTCTCTCTCATCCATGTTTCTAACTCTCTATCTCTCTCCCTTCCTCTCTGTAAAAAATCAATAAAATATATTTTAAAAAAAAAAGAACAAGTTAAATACACTATGATCTTCACAGAAAATGCTACAGACCAGCCCTTCTGGCCCAGAATTTTATAGGAGCATTAAGCTCTAATGCCTCCAAGTATCCAGCCTCTGTAAGGAAATAACTTTTTCTGTGCTCGTGTGAGCCTCAGCTACATTCTATCCTTGGTCAGAACTGAGAAAGCCACCACCCAAATCGTTTTCAGTAAGGCCTAGGTTCCCCATGGAAACCCAGCTGACACAGGCCGCTGTATATATATTTATCCTCATCCAAGGATATGTTTGTTGAGTTTAGAGAGAGGAAGGGGAGAGAGAAGAGAGAAATATCGATTGGTTGCCTCCCATACATGCCCTGACCAGGAATTGAACCCGAAACCTTTTGATGCACAGGATGACACTCCAACCAACTGAGCCACCTGGCCAGGACCAGGCTGCTATATTTATAAAAAATAATGATGATTTATTTGGAGAAATTTCTCTGTCATCTTAAATAGGAAAAGCAAGTACAGACTAGCACGTATTATACCACCTTTGTGTAAATAAGGACAGAAAATTAAAATCAATATTCATATTTGTTTGTATTTGCTTTAAAAAGCCTTGAGGGGGAAACACTTTATAAAATAAATGATTGTCTAACCACTAGGCTGTACACCTGAAACGAATACAAAATAATATTGAATGCAAACTGTAACTGAAAAAAGAAAAGGAAAAAATCCTCTGGAGGGATTGCCATAATAAACTAATAGGAATGGGGGTAGAATAGGGTGGAAATGAGTCAGGGTGGGGGTAGTCGGGGGAGGAGGGGACACTGGAGATATACATTTTGGTTTTTAAACTATAAATGTGATCACTATTTAAAATAGTTTTTTTAATAATGTAAAAAGTAAAAGATGACTATCGCTTTCAGCAAAGAGAGACTTTGATGAAATTCTCTGTGGTTTCTCCACTGCTCCCCAAAACAGTCTTTACTGCTTCCCGTGGCCTTGAGGCCCCACTAGATCCCAACTTTCAGTCTGTATTTCTGCTGACTGGTTCGCCTCACAGAGGACTCTCCATGACACCTCCCATCCACCACACCTTTGCCCCGGCCTCCCCACCACTAGGAGAGCCATCCCTCTGGGACTCACAGATGCTCCTCCAGCTTCCTCTTCAGTAGGGCCGGCTAGGGAAGAGAAGAGGGTGGGGTGAGTGGGGTCCGGAGGCCCCAAGCCTTTTCTGGGGTGAGGACAGAGGTGTCACCCCGGGGCCCATGGTACTTACAATGGACTGCGTGGGGCATCGGGCAGCAGGTGGGGAAGAAAAGAGGGTTATTAGGGGACAGGAGGGAGGGCCAGGCAGGAAGGAGGTGGGCACTCACGTCCTCGCTCTTGCCCCCCTGCTCCTTCAGTGCCTTCTGTAGGTCCTCCACCTGGACCCGCAGATCCAATAGCTGCTGCTGGTTCAGCCTGCGGGGTAGGTGGCCGCTCAGTGCCTGGCCGCAGGTCTCCACCGCCTCCCCGCCCTCCACCGCGCTCACCGGTGCTGCGTCTCCAGCTGGTGGCGCGCACGGTTGGCCTCCTCCAGGTGGCGCTGCAGCTCCTCCTGCCGCTCCCGGTCGGCCGCCTCCTGCTGGCACAGGCGCCTGTTCTCTCCCTGAAGCTGCAGGAGCGTCTCCCTGCGGACCAGACCCCAGGGGGAGAACGCTGCTGGGACCAGTCACCCCGCAGCTGGCGGAGGGGACCGGGAAAGGGACAGGGCCCTGGGAGGAGCCCGGCCAGACCCTAGGGCAGCCCTAGAGTCCTGGGGACCGGGCCTAGGTATTCTGAGTGGAGCTCTGGGGACCAAAGTGGGCCCGCCTAGGAGCTGGGCCTAGGGGCGATGCTGGGCGAGGGAGGGGCTACAGGAACTGGTTTGAACACGTAGGGAAGGGGCTGTGGGGAAGGAAGACGCAGGAACGGGAAGAGCTGCGATGGGAGAGCCTTTCTGGGCAGGGCACAGGGCACTGAATTAGCAGGAGCTGCACTGAGGACAGGGCTGTGCCCTGGGAGCAGAACCCAATATGGGCAGGGCTGGGGCACGGGATTTTTGTGTGCCTGGTGGAGCAGATGGGTTGGACCTGCTTTGTGCACTGAGGATGGACCCTGGAGAGGCAAGCCGCCGAGAGGGCTAGAGCCCCCGAAAGGTAAGAGCAGAATTCGGAGTGGGTGGGCCTAGGAGTCCAGGTAGGACTTGGGAACTGAGCTGGCTGGGTTATGGCAGGTGCTTGCACTGGGGACGGGGCTGAGGGTGGCACTGGCAGGCCAGGGTGTGGCCAAAGTTCTGAGTGACCCCAGGATACCTGAGCTCGGCAGGTAGGATCTCTGCTGCCAGGTTTTCCACAGCCGGTGAGGTGGGATCCAGCGAGGGGTCTGGAGAATGTGAGAAACGTTTTCAGGTAGCTGCACGGCCTCCACTCCCATCCTTAAGATCCTCTGTCCAAGAATCATCTTTTCTTTTTAATCCTCACTCGAGGATATTTTCCCATTAGTTTTTAGAGAGTGAAAGAGAGAGGGAAAGACAGAGAGAAATATTGATGTGAGAGAAACACACCGATTGGATTGGTTGCCTCCTGCATGAGCCCCAACCAGGGCCCGAGCCTGGGAGGAGCCTGCAACCGAGGTACGTGCCCTTGACCAGAATCGAACCTGGGACCTTTTGGTCCACAGGCCAACGCTCTATCCACTGACCCAAACCAGCTGGGGCCAAGAACCATCTTTGAGGGCTCAAGTGCAGACAAAAGCCTGGCTTGACATAAGCCCCCACCATTACCTCCAGCCTGGCAAGGAGCCGTGATGCCTGGCCCACCCTGAGCTCAGGAGGACAGCTCCCACCTTCTGTCGGCCTATCGCCTGCCCCTCTAGTGTCCCTCCAGCAGGACCGAGTTCTGCTCCCAGCCTAGACAGGCCCCGAGGCACTGCCTTTTCTGCCTGCCTAACAGCACCCCAGGCCACACACACTCCCAGGATCCCGGGATGGGCCCCAAACTCACCAGCCTGGCTCGGTCCCCGAGGCTGCAGCTGGGCACAGCGCAGCTCCTCATTGGCCTCCCGCAGTGAGTCCCGCTCAGCCAACAGCCGCTGGAGGGAAGGGGTGCAAGACACCACTTGAGGCCCACTCGAGTGGGCTACCCCATGGTGGATGGGGGGAGGGGGGCTTGTGTGGTAGGACCTCAGCCTCACCTCTTTCTCCTTTGTTACCGACTCATACTTTTCCTCCAGATTGCGACACTCAAATAGCCATTTTTCAGCCTTCATGGCCTCCTCCTGCTGCTGGCTCTGCAATTCCTGAACCTGAACAGAGGGGAGGTGTAAGGATGGCAGAGTGGGAAGAGGGGCAGGGACTGAGTTCAAGGTAAAGGGGCAGGGCCCTGGCTGGTTGCTCAGTGGTTAGAGCATCGGCCCAGCACTGAAGGGGCTCAGGTTTAACTCCCGGTCAAGGGCACATAAGTGGGTTGCGATTTGCTCCCTGCCTCCCATTGGGGCATGTGCAGGAGGCAATCGGTCGATGTGTCTGTCTCACATCGATGTTTCTCTCCCCTCTTCCCTTCCTCCCTCCCACTATCTCTGAAAAGTAATGGAAAAAATGTCCTCAGGTGAGGATTAAAAAAAAAAAAGGTGCCCGGCGTGGCTCAGTGGTTGAGTGTCAACCTATGAACCAGGAGGCCACAGTTTGAGTCCCAGTCAGGGCACATGCCTGGGTTGCGAGCTCAATCCCCAGTGGGGACATGCAGGAGACAGCCAATCAATGATTCTCTTTCATCATTGATGTTTCTCTCTCTCCCTCTCCCTTCCTCTCTGAAATTTTTAAAAACAAAATTTTTTTAAGGTGTTAAGGTGAAGGGGCAGGGCCAGAGGACCCAGCCTCAAAGAATTGGAGGGGCTGAGCTTCAGATAAGGAGCAAGGCCCAAAACCTAGAGAGCAGCTGGCCTGCCTAAAGGGCGTGACCATATATATAAACAATAGAGACCACTCATCTCTAAGGGGCTCAGCACCACGTGAGGGTCCCCAAAGGGAAGGGAGTGAGCCAGGAGGGCCCAGATGCAGGTACAGGCTCCCAGGCACCCCAGCCCCTGCCGCACCTGCAGCCGCTGCGCCTCCAGCTGGGCGCGCAGAGAGCCAGCCCTGCGCAACTCCTCCTCCAGCTGCCGCGTGCGCTCTGCGTGGCCAGCGTTGCGCTCCTCCAGCTGCCGCACCTGCCTCCGCAGCTCCCTGAGCTCTCCCAGGCGGCTCCGGCAGCTGCTCAGCGTGGCCTCTAGCTGCCCAGCACGCTCCGAGGACTGGCTGGGGGAGGGGGCAAGTGGGAGAGGTGGCTGGGATCTGAAGTCAGGGTTTAGCTTGGACGCAACGCCCTCAAGGCAGAAGGGATCATGTCGGCCTGGGGGCATCTGAGTTAGAGATGGTGGGTCTTGAAGATCATGGTCAGCCTGGGCCTGGTGCTAGGGGGCATAAAGGGAGCCTAGGTGTCAATGCTAACCAGGGTCACAATCAGGGATGCTCAGTGGTGGCACCGTGGTGGGGACACAGGATGGCTGTGGGGTTACAGGGAAAATAATGGGGGCCCAGAGGGATGGAGGAGCCCCAAGGACACTGGAGTCATGAGGTGACTGAGGGGTTGATGTGAGCACGGTGGGTGCAGGGGCGATGGTGGGGCCATGGGAGAGCTTTGGGGCCAGAGCACTATGAGGTCCTTGAACTTACTTTAACATTACAGAAGTGGGGCCCCGGGGGAGCCCTTTGAGGTTACAGAAGGCACAGTGAGGTCGAGGGAGGGGGCGAGTGCTGTGGGGGCCCACTAAGCACAAAGGGGTTGCCAGGGTACTGTGAAGTCACGTAGAGTCGTGTCATGGGGGGCACAATGGGAATTACAAGGGATGGCAAGATTGCTGCACTGCGGGGTCCTGGAGGGCACCATGGATCCCGAGGCATGGGCTGGGGCACCCTGGCCAGATCGCTCAGTTAGAGCATTGTCCTGATGCGCCAAGATTTCGGGTTTGATCCCCGGTTAGGACAACCAGTGAAAGCATGAATGAGTAGAACAACAAACATTGATGTTTCGATGTTCTTTCTCGCTCTAAAAAAATAAGATAAGACTCAGAATGATGTAGTGGGATCTGGGGAGCATTGTGGGGGGCTTGGGCTTGCTGTGATCACAGGGATGCTATGAGGTCTGGGTGATACCACATGGGATAACAGGGGGACCCTGGGTGGGTCCTGGGAGACACCATGGATCAGGGGGCTTGGTGATATCCAGAGGACGTGGCAGAGTCCAGAACAGTGCAGTGGGGTTTAGGATGGCATGGAGTCTAGAGGGCATTATGGGGGTCTACTGGGCATTTCAGGGTTACAGAGGTCCTGTGGCATCAGAGGGGCACTCTGGCAATGGGGGTGTGCGGTGGGGACCCAGAGACCCACCACTCACCGCAGTTCATCCATCTCATCCTTCAGGGCCTGCGCCTCCTGGGCCAGGCTGGTCAGGGCCTGGTTCCGCTGCTGTAGCTCAGTGACCTCCCGCTCCAGCTCCACACACCGCAGATGATCATCCTCCCTGCTGCTCTCCAGCCTGGGGGGTGGGGGTGGGCATGTGAGGGGACCGCACCCACCCCAACCCCCTGACCTGCCTGGCCCCAACCCCAGCAGCCCACACCTGAAGTTCTCTTCCTGCAGCTGCTCCAGCTGGGACTGTAGCAGCAGCAGCTTCTTGGCAGTGAGGCCCATGGCGACCTCGCCCTCTGGCTGGCCCACCCGCTGCCGTAGCACCGCGTTCTCCTGCGCCAGGCTCTGCTTCTCCTCTGACAGGAGCACCAGCTGTGGGCAGCGGGCACAGTGAGCTAGAGCTGAGAAGGGGGCTATGCAAGATAACCCTGCCCTAGAAGCACCTGTCCCCACCTCAGCCCCACCTGCCGCTCCAGGTCCAGACAGCGCTGCCGCAGCTCGTCCCCCTCATCAGCCTCCTCACTCAGGAAGTAGTACCTGCGGGACTGATAGGGGGGCGGCAAGGAACTCAGGAATGGAGGGGAGGAGACTGGGGGAAGGAGGCTGGGATCTCTAGGGGCAGAGAGGAGGGATTCAAGAAACCCTCAGGATCTAGGAGAAAGCTGGGACCTCAGGATCCTGGAGCAAGGTTGTTTGGGAATCCTGGGTACCCAGGAAAAGAGGCTGGGCCCCTGAGGGATGGGGGTGGTTTTCAGGCTCAAACACAAGCCCCTCCTACTCAGGCAGCTCAGAGAATCAGTAATGGGGTTGGTACCCTAACCAGGTGCCCCACCCCTTACCTGGCTGTCAAAGTTCCCATATGTCTCCTGTGACAGGGTACCAGGGGTGTCTTTGATCATGAGCTGGAGGGAAATGGGGTGGCACGGAGATGAGCTGGGCCCTCTGAGGGCAGCCTCCAAGGCCTCCATGATCCATCCTGAGAACCTCTCCATCCTCCTGTCCCCAAAGCCATTTCTCCTATAATCCCACCCTACAGGCTGCCCCCCTGCCAGGGTCCAGCACACAGAGAAGACTGGCCCTTTGACCGTGACTTAGAGCTGGGAGGGCTGGCAGATATGAGACAGGGAAATCTGGCCAGCTGAGTTCCAGGCAAAGGCCCGACCTCACCAGGGCAGAGCCTGTGGCCGTTGCCTCTGCCCTGGAGATGTGCCCTCCCCTGCAGCTCCTTGCCATGTTGGGCACCCCTCCTACCTCCTGGATGGCTGCCATCACCACATGCTGAACCGACTCCTCCAGCGTCATAATTCTCTGGATGTACTCTGGGGGTCAAGGTTGAGGAGACTGAGATTGGGGAGGAGGATTTCTTCGGGTTTCCCCCTAGGGACCCCCTAACCCCCATACCCTGCTTTTTCTCGCAACTGATGGCACAGCCCAGCACCAGCTGAAGCAGCTTGCCGAGCTCTCCAGGGTCTGAGAACTGGCCAATGAGGCTCACATCTGGGAGGTGCTGCTCCAAAATGGGATGTCCTAGGACCTGAGGACAGGTGGGAGGAGGGGTGGGTGGGTGGGTGAGTGTCAGGGGCTCACAGACTCGTCCCCGCCTCCCAATACAACCCCCTAAATCCCTTTACAGTTACTCACATCCTGGGAGTACTCCACCAGGCTCTGTAAGATTATCTTCAGATTGCTGACCTGAGGAGAGACAAGGAATTTGATCACGAGCTGGAGGGAAATGGGGTGGCGCTGAGATGAGTTGGGCCCTCTGAGGGCAGCCTTCAAGGCCTCCATGATCCACCTTGAGACCCTCTCCATCCTCCTGTCCCCAAAGCCATTTCTCCTATAATCCCACCCTACAGGCTGCCCCCCCTCCAGAGTCCCAGAGCCCCCCCAGAAGGTGCCAGGCAGCCCTCACCCTGAATCTATCTTCCCCATCCTTTTTTTTTTCCACCTCCCCTGCCAATCCCTGGTCATCTCATCCTGTTTGGCCTCATTCTCCATCTGAATGTCCCTTCTCCTAGGCCTGGCCTGCCTGCCTGCCTGCCTGCCTGCCTTTTTTATCCACCTGCTCATCTTGTTCCCATGTCCCCAGAATCCAATCACTTATCACCGTCTGTCCCACCACCCTTTGGCCCCAGCCACTGTTACCTCTTCCCTGCATTACTGCATCAGCCCTACCCCAGCTTCCACTTTCCATTCCTCTGGAAGCAGTCAGGGAGCTTTGTCAAGCCCCAGCCAGGTTGTGTCTTTCCTTTTCTAAAACCCTTCCTTGACTTTGCACAGCACTTAGAACCCACCTCCCTGCCCCAGCCCGCCAGGCCCCTGAAGCTCTCACATACCATTCCTTTGCTTCCTGTTCAGACTCCTCTACCATTCCTCAGTCACACCAAGCTCATTCCCAACTCAGAGCCTTTGCACTTGCTCTTCCCTAGCCTGGAATACTGTTCCCCCAAATGTTACACGGAGATCAGCCTATCTGGAGTGACCGTCCACCAACCCCCAGTTGTTCTCACGCCTGGCCTGCTTTATTGTCTTCACACAACATATTGCCACTGGAAGTCAACATTTATGTTTGTGCATGCAGGTTTTTGTTATTCCTTGTGGCATGCCCAGGCCTGCTCGATAGATGAATGGAATAAAGTTGGCTGATCACCAGACATCTATCCCTCTTCCTAACCAGGTCTGTCTGTCCATCGCCCAGGAAATATGTCTATCTGACCCTTCTCTGATCATCTCTTCACCAGTCTGAACCCAGGCGAGTCCACCTATCACCTTCTGCCTCCCGCTGGGACCTGGGTCTTCTGAGATGCGCTGGAGCCAGGCCTCGTTGAACCAGGAAGGGTCTCTGGAGGTGAGAAGGTGGAATGAGCTGCTGGGAGACCTTTCTGGGGCCCTCCCCCTCAGCCTCACTCACATCTGGTTCAGCACATAGGCTATGGCCAGGCCACTGCTCAGGTCCTGGGGGCTGGCACAGGGGGATGGGACGGGGAACGTCTGCAACTGTGGGGAAGAGCAGAGCGCAACAGGCAGCGTCAGGGCCTGGGTCACTGAGCCACTCCCCTTTGCAGACTTTGTCGGTCAGCGTGAACTTCACACAGTTGAGCTTGCACGGTTGAACAGGAGCTGGCCTGTTGCTCCACAAGCCAGGTCCTTGGGGGAGTGACCTCTGCTCACCTGGGACCGGAGGGGGCGTGGCCTCACTTCACCTCCGTCCCACCAACCTCCCGCGACCAGGCCAAGGCGGAACCAAATCACCTGCTCCCACAGGCGACGGGTCACGAGGCCAGCTCACCTGTGGCCCGGCCCCACGTGACCCAGTAACGAAGGGGCGGGACCTCACCTGTCCTGTCCACGCAGACCTTCTACGTGACAGGGGCGGGTGCTCAGGCCAGAGTCCAACGGCCCAGCAAGCCGACGACCCCCTTCCTCCGCCCAGCCCCAGGACGAAAGGTGAGCTGAACCAAGGCCGGGCTCCCGGGCGGCAAGAACGGGCGCTCACCTGCCCCTGGCCCCACCCCCGACCTACCCAGGTGAACAGAGACACACATAGTTCGGCCTTGTCCACGCTCATGGCTCCCGATCGGATTTGACCCCGGCCGTGGAGCCCCGCCACCGCAGCCTCCTCCAGGTCCGCCACCAGCGAGCGCCCGCAACCGCGACCTCCCGCTCGGCCTAGAGCGCCGCCCCGCCCCGCCCCGCCCCCTAGGCGCCAGGCCCCGCCCCTGACACGTGATCGCCTCCCGGCGCCCTCTCAGGCCTCCAGGGCGGCCATCTTGGTTCCGGGCAGCGTTCGGGCGCCCGCCCTGCCGCTAGGGGTCAGTCTGCGCCAACCTTGCGCTTCCGGTCTCACCCTGCTCTTTAGATGGGGGGCTGGGGGGGAGTAGCGGGGACCTCAGGATCGTTCCTCAGCCTCCCTTCGGCCGGGAGGAATTCTGTCTGCGCGGGGAAGGGGCAGCCATTACACATCCTTTGGACCTGGAGCGGGGGGTCTCAAAGGGGTCTGTCTGGTGGAGGTGCCTCGGGAGTCTTGCCCGGGGTAGATAAGGAGACATGGATGTGGTCCTAGGTCGAGGACAGGGTGATTTAGCCAGACAACGTCCTGGTGATGATGGACAAACACACTTGCGCAGCCTGGATCCGTCCTCCACGGGGCTCCCCGCACCTTCACCTTCCCGAGCTCCGGGCAGGGGTCCTCGGGTCTCAAAGCCCAGGCCAGGCCGCCCGGGTCCCCGCGCCCACCAGGGGGCGCTCAGGCCGCAGGAAGGCGGCCTAGGGAGGGGGCTCAAAGGAAAGAGAACCAAAGCAGTTAACAATACAATCGCAGCCACCATCTATTGAGTGCCTACAGTATACAGTCCCTGCGCTTCGCGATTTTCGTATGTAAGCGGCTGGAATCTCCCCGGGACTCTAGATGGCAAGTGGTGTTTTAATTCTCGGTTCACCGGCGGGGAAACAGAGGCTCTGGGTGGACCCGGCTTCGGGAGGAGTGGTAGAGCCGGCGCCCGCCGACGCCCGAGTTCTCCGAAAGCCCCTCCCCCCGGGCGGGCGACATAACGAGCAGTAATTAGAGGTTATTAGCTGTACCCGGAGGGGAGGGCGGGCTCTGCTTCGGGGCTGGGTCTAGGTCTGAGGGGAGGGGCGCTGATCCCGGCAACGCAGAGTCCGGCTCCGCCAGCCCTGCGGCGGAGCGGGTTTGGCAGGATGACCGCAGCCCCCACGCCGCTTCGCACAAACACGCACTCTGCCGCCAGACACGCGGTCCCGGCCCACTGAGATGCGCAGCCGCGCGCACCCACTCGGAGGCTCGTCCACACCCCCACGTCCCCTTCCCGTGTTGTTTTCAGCCTCCAGCCCCTGGGAGCTGGGGGGGTTGGGGTGGGAGGGGGAGATGGGGGAAGGGGCCCGGGGCCCGCAGGCTGTGCTGGCTTCCGGACCGGGCGGCCTTCCGGCGGGCGTGGGAACCGCTGCGGCTGGCTCCGGCGTCCCGCACCCACCGGAGGGAAGGGTGCCGCCAATAGGGGGAAATGGGCCATCCTGGCCCCGGGTAGAAGTGGAAGGTGAGCCAGGAACTAGGGCTGTTGCTGAACAAGGATGGGGGCTGGAGGGTGGGAGTGTTGGTGAGAGGACCTGGTTGCCTAATGTTTGGGGACATACTGGAATCACCATATATTTAGGTTGGGGTCCCCAATGTTCACAGAAGCCGCAGAGATCTTGATGTTTAAAAGGAATCCGGGAATTCAAATATTTGGAGCATGGTCTTGAATTGTTCTAATGCTGATGTGATAGGATGGGCATTCTAGACAACAAGTGACCTGGATCCCCATATTTAAAGAAAGGTCCGTGTGCCATCAATTTGGGAGAGGAGCCACAACCCTCCATCTGGGGCAGCAGGAATCTCATGTTTGGGGTGAAAGGGAGCTCCAATGTGGGCAGAGAAGAGCAGTGATTGCTATAATGGGATGCAGGGAGTCATACTGTTGGGGATCAATGAAAGAGGTCAAAAGCCCTCATTTTGTGGCAGGGGCTCTGTATTTGGGGGAAGGATGCAACCCCCCACTTTTGGTGGGGGAAGTCCCCCAAATGTGGGGATGGTCTGGAGACCCCCATTTCATAGGAACAGAGTGTACAGGTCTGGGCCAGCAGCCCCCAGCTAGTTTGGGGACCCCACCCCCTCCTGTTTCCAGGAACAGCTGGGCCCAGCCTGTGAAGTATTGCTGGGAAGCCGGTGACTCAACCCCTCCCTGCGGCCACAGCTGGACCCCCGCCCGCACCCTCCAGCCTTCACATCTGGGCAGAGACCCAGTCATGAAGGCTGGGATGGGGACCCTGGGATCGTATAATTGGAGGATGGTGCCCTTCCCCCAGGGCTGACTACAGCTATAGTGTGGACACCACGCCACATACCATGGGGGACTCTGACAGGCGCTCTGCACTCCAGACACATCGCTCCAGAAACTTCCATCTTGTCCCCCTCCTCACATCTGTATGTCTGAGTCCATGTAAAGCGTGCTCACATTTTGTAGGTATGAGATGGTGTGTTTGTGATTGTATGCACATGTAGGTGTGTGTCTTGGTATGTCTTGGAGCCCTGGGAATTTTATGCAACAGGCTATCTCTGTGTGATTTGGTGGTGTGTGGGATTGGGGGGCTGTCAGGGGCTGGGGTACATGCTCTCTATTGAGACCTTGCTTTGTGTCTATATACCTGTGTCTTTCTTTGTGTGAGAAGTATGTGACAACCAGTACCTCAATGTGGCTTTAGGGTGTGTTTCTGTGTGACTGTGTCCTACTTTCTATCATATATCTTTCTGTGACATGTGATCCTGTCATGTGTCCTTGGCTTGTCCATGTCCCCACAATAATATGGATGTCACTGGATGTGGCCTTTGGGTTTGTCCCTGTGGCCCTACTTGACTTCATGCGCCGTTTGTGATGAGCCTCATGGGTCTCCATGTCCAAGACTTTGTGTCTTACTTTGTCTTTTTTAAAATATACATATTTTTATTGATCTCAGAGAGGAAGGAGAGAGATAGAAACATCAATGATGAGAGAATCATTGATCGGCTGCCTCATGCAAGCCCCCCACAGGGGATCAAGCCGGCAACCCAGGCATGTGCCCTGACCAGGAATCGAACCCCGGACCCTCCAGTCCGCAGGCTGACGCTCTGGCCACTGAGCCAAACCAGCCAGGGCGTGCCTTACTTTGTCTTGATGGTGATGGTGTGGCTTTGTCAGACTGCCTGTCTGTGTCCCCACCACAAACGGTGGGTGACAGGTGTGTCTGTGTCTATGTGACCCCATCCCGTCCGCTGCAGGGCTGGCTGGACTCTGACGGCTTTGCCACCGCGTGGCCGGTGTCTCCCGGCCCGGGGAGCGCGGTGGGGGGGCCCTGGGCGGGCTGTGACCTTGCTGGGGGGCGCGCTCAAGTCACGGGACACAGCGCTCCGTGGGGAAGCGATGTGCGCACACGGGGTCGGGCGCGCTGCATCCTGCCCGGCTCTGCTGGGAAGGCTCCCGCCCCGGCTGCGGGGGCGCGTGCGTCGTGCGTGACGTGAGACACGACGGGGATCGCTGAGTGCGTGGAGCCCGACGCGGTCGTGCGTGCGAGCGAGCGCGGGGAACAGGGATGGGCCGGCTGAGTGTGCGCGTGCGGGGGCGACTGCTGGGGCGCGAGGGGCAGAGCCCGGCCCCACCCGGGCCTCGGGGCTCCGGGCTCCGGGCGCGGGTGAAGTCCGGGAGGGGGGCGCCGTTAACCCCTTCCTGCCCGACCCGAAACTCGAGGCCCCTCGACGGAGCGCAGGGGCTCCCCCCGCGCCTGGGGGCCGTCCCTGCCGGGGAAGGAACCCCTGTCGAACCGAGACCCCCCCCCCCCCGGTTACCATGGGAACCGGAGCTTTCCTGCAGACGGCCGCTAGCCCCGAGTCCTCCGCTCCCGCGCTTCCTCCGGCTCCCTGGTCGGCAGATCACGCGCTTCCCGCTCCCGGTCTCCAGGGAAGGGGGTTGGGGTCGGCGAGTCCCGGCCTCTGACTCAGGCCGGGCTGGTGGTCCCCTGGCCGCAGCGAACCTTGCTACCCCTTTCTGCTCCCATGTCTCACCCCTTTTGGTTATCCTGTGGAGTGATTCAGATCGCTGGTGAGGGGGTGTTGCAGATCCCCAGACCCTTCAAAGGGAAGGGCGCTGAGAACCATATCCTGAGGACCTCCTGCTCTGGGGAAGGGGGTTCCCCTCTAACGGGGGGTTGGGGAGGGGATATCATCCCCTGCCTGGCCCTAGCCAAGGTCACTAGGGGTTCCCCCCCCCCCTTGAATTGGCAGCCTCCCCCCACCAGGCCTCCCGGAACCCAGCCCTCGGCCCTTCCCCCACAGCCCACAGGAAGTTTTGGCAGAGCCTCTCATGGCGATGAAACGGTTAAAGCCGTTTTCTTATTCATTTCATCCAGGGGCCCCTTTTGACTCAGAGCAAGCTGGGCGCATGCCCCCTTGAGCCGAGCCTCCTGGGGGCCCAGGTTCATACTGCACCCGACATGTACCATTTTTAGAGAGAAAAAGGAAGGCGGTTGGTGCGCTGGCTGGCCGTCTTGGCTGGCATACCGAGACCTGGGTTCAGATCCTGCCTTTGCTCTCCTTGCTGTCTAGGTCTGTTTCCCCATCTGAAAATGGGGGAGAGTTATGTCCAGCTCATAGTGGCATTATGGAGATTAGGTGAATAATGGATGAGATTTTGCATCCAGAGCTGGGCACAGAAGCAGGAAGGGGTCTTGGCCCACAGAAGGACCCAGGCTCCTCTTGTCTCTCAGGCCTGAGTGTCAGGGTGTCTAGCAGGAGCAAGTCCTTGCCAGGCAGGCCTTGCCCCACCCAGGCACTCCGAGGCCTTGGGGTTCATCTTGTCCACCCCTGCCCTGGGCAGGCACCCAGGAAGTGAGAGGCGGGACAGGAATGAAGCAGAACCTGTTGGGCCTGTCGCCTCCCTACCCCCACCCTCATTCTGGGGCCTTGACAAGGCCCCCACGCTGCAGCCCCACCCCCCCGCTACCCTGGACGCCTGGGTCCTGACCCAAGGGTGGCCCGAGGGAAGGGATGTTGGCGGAGGCAGCAGCGTCTAGGGAACATCCTGTGGACTGCTGGCTGGACAGACCAGACGGGAGGGTCAGCCCCTCCCAGGGCAGGGCAGAAGTCAGCTA